CACATCCCCAGATACACTCCCATACACACCTACACACTATTTTCCTTCCTCTAAGCTTACAATATAATCATGATTTGCCTTTTGTACCATGATACTCATATACTGCCATTACGTTTCCCTAGTTAGCCTAAGCCTTAAGTGGATCCTTTTGTCTCTTTCATATAATAATGAACCCTTTAATTTCCCCTTTTAAATTCAAGTTAAATTCAAAGGCTCAAAAGGTAACAATCCATTACCTATGCTTTCCTAGTTTTCAAATAATATTAGCATTATATTATGTTCTATATAACTGAGTACTGGATTTGATATATATCTCCCATGATTTTAGTCAGGCTTTGATGGTGGGGAGTATAGGTTTGAGCTTCCTGCCAATGCTATGGATTAGATCATTAATGCTGGTTTTAGTATGTTGTCTCTTTTTCTCTGTCTGTCTTTGTCTCTGTCTCTCTGTCTCTGTCTCTGTCTCTGTCTCTTTCTCTCTCTCTCTCACACACACATACACGACTTAGCATCATTTCTTAGCTTGAAACTCTGATTACAGAATGAAAAGTCTATAGATGTAGATTAAAATTCTAACATATACCTTGCATTTGCCTTCATAGCCTATACCAGTGATCCCCAACCTTTTTTACGCCGCGGCCCGGTACCGGCATCAGCTGGGCACCGCGGCCCGGTACCGGCATCAGCTGGGCGCCGCCATCTTTTTTTGATGAAAACGTGCTTCCGGTGAGCTTTCTACCCGGAAAAGCTCACCGGAAGCACTTTTTCATCAAAAAAAGATGGCGGCGCCCAGCAAGCCAGCGGCCCGGTAGGAGTTGTTCCGCGGCCCGGTACCGGTCCGCGGACCGGTGGTTGGGGACCCCTGGCCTATACCAATGTTAGCTCCAGTTTGCCTTGCAGGGGAAACAGAAGGAACACATGTAGCAATGAGTCTTAATTAAATTGACATTGATAACAATTCCATGTTCTCTTGTAGCATGTTTTGGAACATAGCATTCAGTATCTTTGCTGCTCAGCAGTATACTTGAATCATGCTGCTAGCTCTGGTTAAAAGAAATAACTCATTAAGCAGATGAAATGCCCAAGACACTGATTCACATGGCACAACTTTGTTAGCAGAATCTCGATACATTTCACAAATAATTAAATATTATTGCACTTCTAAAGGATGTTTGTAAATTTCCTCTTACAGTAACCCATAAAATGTTAAGATGTCATTCCAATAGCTGAAAATGGCTACTATATTGTTAGTGCCATGCGGATTGAGTAAAAATATCTATGATAATATACAACATATATATTTATTTTATGCTTCAATGTATATGTCACTCTATTTCCAAAGACTCTGAATGGCCTTCTCCTGGGAACACTTCTTATAAATTGATTACTTACCTTTTCTCAAAACAAAACATACATTTGTTATCATATGTTCTTCCATTGCTCCCACAGACTGGCCTGTACTTCTTAGTGCACACTGTAATGTACTTGGGAAATTCACTGCAGTCATCCTGCAATGATAATGAAAATGTTCAGTGTTTATTCTTCAAACCAACTCGTGTTTTGTTTACATTTGTCCACCAATAACAACATACAGTCTTTCATGAAAAATACAACCATATCTTTTACAAATATATGCAAAAGCATTCTGATTAAAAATTACACATGAGAAAGGAGAATTATACACAATTGTTGTATCAGAAAAAATATGATATGTGATTAGGGGTATTTCAATCTTAGTGCATTTGGTTAGGTTGGGTGTGTTGTATCATACTGCTATCCTGGAGTCTTTCATTACTTCTGGGTCTATGGATGTAAAGACTCCTTGGCATTGAGTGAAACCATAATTGCATCTTCTTCTGTGATAAGGTCTTTGATTTTCTGGAAGCATTGCAATGGGGAATTGATAGAGTATTTATTCCCCTCTTTGAGATGTCCAAGCAGTTTTGTAAGTTTTTTAGCTATGCATCTTTAGCTATGTTTAGTTATTACTTTAGCTTCACAGGAACAAGGGAAGAAAAAAACAACACACCACTCTTCTAGGATATCCTCATCAACAGAGGAAATAACACTAAATTAGAAATACAAGGTGTTTTTGAAGAACAATTAATTAAGTGCTCAACTACTAAGATAACAACCCAACCTCCCACAAGAGGAGCTGTGTAGAACAACATTCAAATGAGCACAAATGTACTGCAGCAACCCAGAACACCAGAAAAAGGAATCAGACTGCCTATACAACAAAATGAATACCCACACAACTTTATCAAATAGTGCCTAACTATTCAACCCACTATAGCACAACTGATACCAACTATGAAAATACATCAAAAACATCTCAGAAACAACAAACAATTATAATCACACAGTATCACCATAACATGCAAACCAATTAAAGCAATACAGACAATTCTAATACAGATATTGAAGAAAAAGTTATTAAAGATTTAATAATTTTTTAGATTGGAATGATATAGAGGCAGAAATTGGTAAATATATAGAACAAATGCAAAATATGCAAGAATAAGGCACTTCTAAGGAAGTATTGATATATTTCAGGAGAAATAAGGGATTGTTTTGTAGCAGCATTTTTATACAAAACTGAACATTGATAATAGCAATAGCACTTAGACTTATATACTGCTTCACAGTGCTTTACACACTTTTCTAAGCGGTTTACAGAGTCAGCATATTATCCCCAACAATCTGGGTCCACATTTAACCAATCTCAGAAGGATAGAAGGCTGAGTCAACCTTGAGCTGATGACGTTCTAATGGCCAAACTGCTGGCAGCTGGTAATCAGCAGAAGTAGCCTGCAGTACTGCATTCTAACCACTGTGCCACAATACATTGCAATGCTTAGAGATAGAAGAAGAGAAGAGAAATTTACAACTTACGAAGACCTGCAAATACAAGTAGAATGACTGTGGCAAAAGAAAGCAAAGATAGTGCCAACAGTACTAGCCTTGGATACAATTCCAAAATGTCTAGAGTACTATCAGTATATTACTGACATTGATAAAATCACCGTCACTCAATTGCAAAAGGCAGCTTTACTTGGAACAGCTTACATTCTTTGACAATAATATTATAAAACAACTACTTCTATACCCATGCTTTGCTACAAATATGTGACCGGGCTTAGTTTTTGGAGAGGAAAATAAGGGGAAAAAAATGTGCCTCTGCCTACCAGCATCCATCGGTATTCATTTGGCTAGCATCTTGTCAGTGTGTGAGAGAGTTGAGGGCTGTTTGGAAACTGAAGCAGTATTTGCTGTGTGAGCGAGAAGGAGACTCAAGGAGCCTGGGCATGGCTTAGCTCAACTGTTCTGTACTAAAGCTGGTTGCTGCTGTGAAACTAAAACTGAAACTCCTCTCTTCTGCTTGTGTTTTGCATTTGGAACAGATTTATTTTCAGGTGAGGTTCTTTTCAAAGGAATGATTAAAAATTTGATTTCAAATTAAGTATAACAATAATACTTACACATCTTCCTGTATATGCTAGATCTACATCATTTCCGCACCTAAAGAAACACCCTGATATTAGCAGACATTTTACCATAATGATGCTTACTTCTTATATAAAACTGTTCATTAATAAGTGTCACAATTACATATGTGTGTGTGTGTGTGTGTGTGTGTATGTATGTGTACACACACACACACACATATGCCGGAGATAAGATCCACCTCCATTTTTCTGCACCTTACAACCTGGCTCTGACAGTTGGCCAGGGGCCCTGTTCAGGGCGCTCTATGCTAAGAGTGGTTGGTCCAGTGAGAGACAATAGCCTGTCCCTGCACCATTTGTCCTCTTCGTTTTTATCCTTTAATTGTTGCTAAGTTTAATGTTTTTATATGTATGTGTTTATATCATTGTAAGCTGCCCAGAATAAATTGGATGGTGAGATGGGCAGCATATTAAATAAATAAATAGCATGTTTCAAATGTCTACTGCTATCTTAATCCAGTTTTAATAAAACTATCTTTCATTTATGTTAAGAATGCTGAAAAAGAAGAACTGATGATATATTTAGAATTGTTCTTTCTCAACAGCTGAACATAGCTATCTATTTTTCTCTATATATCTGTGTACATATGTGTGTGTGTATGTGTACACACACACACACACACACTCATTTTGGAGTGCACATGATAAAACAGACTTTGGTTTACAACAGGTAGGAAGTACTTAAATCACTGGAAAACAAATAAGGTGAATTTTCCTCTAAACACCTATAATAATATGTCCAAGTTCATTGGTGATCAAGAAGATTGGATTACTAAATGGAAAAGGCTTCTATAAACCCCACAATGGCTTAAAGAGGCCTTCATCCAGCAGTCATATTGAATAACAGAACAAAATAACAGATTTGGAAGGAAATTTATAGGTCATCTAGTACAACGCCCATCCAAGCAGGAGATCCTACACCATATTGCTTTCTGTATCAAATGCTTTGCCCCAGACCATATTAATATTCCAGTGACAGGCTACTAGTCAAATAGACTGAAGCAGGAGTGTCAATCTGGGTATATCAAAAGAGTATACCGAAAGAGATAGTCAGATGACAATTGTAAAATAGAGGTGATAGCAGTTCTTTTTTCTGAAAACTGTTACTGTTAACCACCATTCTGCTGATTCCTACAATATTCACATTATCAAATATTCACATGATTTTGTTGCACAGCATACATTCATTGTCATAAGTATGTCCATCAGTTCCACAAATTGGCATATTCTCCTTATGGCAGTGAAACAGGCCTTGTTTATATGTTTGGTACTTTATTTATTTATTTATTTATTTGATTTGCCAATTGTTTACAAGATAATAAGTATAAATGTATACATAGTTGTGAATACATGAAATGGTTACATATAAGAAAAATAAAAGAATAGGAGAAACAATAGGACAGGGACGGTAGGCACGTTGGTGCGCTTATGCACGCCCCCTACAGACCTCTTAGGAAAGGGGTGAGGTCAATAGTAGACAGTCTAAGGTTAAAGTTTTTGGGGTTTGGGGAAGAAACTACAGAGTCGGGTAGAGTATTCCAGACATTGACCACTCTATTGCTGAAGTCGTATTTCCTGCAATCAAGTTTGGTGCGGTTTACTTTGAGTTTGTATCTATTGTGTGCTCTTGTGTTGTTATGGTTGAAGCTGAAGTATTCATTGACAGGTAGGACATTGCAATGTATGATTTTGTATACCATGCTTAAGTCAGACCGAAGACGGCGTAATTCAAGGTTTTCTAGTTCTAGAATTTCAAGTCTGGTGGCATAAGGTATTCTACAGCGAGTAGAGGAGTGGAGAACTCTTCTTGTGAAATATTTCTGGACTTTCTCAATTGTACTAATATCAGATACGTAGTGTGGATTCCAGACTGATGAACTGTATTCGAGTATTGGTCTAGCAAATGTTTTGTATGCTCTGGTTAGTAGTGTGATATTACCAGAGAAAAAGCTACGTAGGATTAGGTTAACAACTCTTAATGCCTTTTTGGCTATGTAGTTGCAGTGTGCTCTAGCACTTAGATCATTAGAGGTGAGTATTCCAAGGTCCTTTACAGAGCTTGGGTCATCAACAAGATCTTGACTATTCAGCTTGTATTTTATTTTCTGATTTTTTTTGCCAATATGTAAGACAGAGCATTTATTTGTTGAGATTTGAAGTTGCCATTTGTTTGACCATTCGGATACATAGTCAAGATCTTTTTGTAGGGTAGCAGTATTGTCTGTGGTATTGAACAGCTTTACATCATCAGCGAAGAGAACGCAATTGCTCTTAATATGATCACAGAGGTCGTTTATGTAGAGTATGAAGAGAGTTGGTCCTAGAACACTGCCTTGGGGAACACCACTATTGACAGGTACTGGATTTGATAGGACGTTCCCGATTTTGACCATTTGTTGTCTGTTTGACAGGAATGCTTCTATCCAGTTATTCAGTTGTCCAGAGATACCATAGGATTTTATTTTTAGGAGTAGTTTGTCGTGTACCACTGAATCAAAGGCTTTACAGAAGTCTATGTAGATTGCGTCTATTGTTTTGCCCTGGTCGAGTTGTGTCGTCCATATGTTTTTACAGTGTAAGAGTTGCAGATTACAGGATAGTTTTTTCCTGAAACCAAATTGTT